CTTTCATACTTGGTTTAAAAGGATGAGGGCAAGAGAGATAAGTAACAGGACATGCTCTCCACATATGAAAGCAACCTCAGAGCAAATCAGACTTTAAAATTACCAGTAACAAAATTAATAACGTTTTAGTATCATACATAAAATAGAAACTAGATGAGAAAAACTATCCACCCATTTTACAGTCACATACACTGTGCTCTTCTTTCACTCTGAATATCTCATAGGAAATTATTAACTCCATTATTATGAACATATTGCAGCCTTTTGCACATGCTCCAGCAAATAGCCATTAGCATTATGATGCAAAGGTGATTGTATAGCATCTATCTCTTAGCCTTTATTCACTGAACATTTCAGTATATCTGTTTTATTTGTAAAATTACCGTCTCCCATGTTTAAGATGCAGCTTAGGCTTGCTTTGCAGAACACCTATGACTTCACACTAAACTCAGTGTACTTCTATAACCTTTCTTGTTACAGATAAAAACATAATTCAGTGTTGACTCTAACACAAACAGGATCATTATGTTTAGAGAGTGTTCCAAAGCCTGCTATCCTAGCAATCTATGGCATATAAATAATGCAAGACCTCTTCTTTCTCCAAATGACTTCAGTTCAAGCGGAGACTCAGAAAGATGGAAGCCCAAATTTATACTGCCATTACAAAATTCAATCTATTTCTGGTTCTCCAATTGAATTATGACTCAGGCTTCCACTATTTTCTGCACCAACCCACATGCTCCTAACCCATGCAGAAAAGAATCCTATTTGTGAATATCCCTGAGCTTTATTATTATTACATTAAAATGGCAGCAAATCCTAACTAATCTGAAAAGATTCATGTTTGCTTTTAAAGGAAAGTAAGGTAGAAAATGGGTCTTATTTCCCCTCCCCCCTGACCTCTGAACCACAACCTCCTCGCCACTAAAGCGTTCAACACCTCATTTAATCTCTCCTCGCTGCATTGGCACAGCACTGCAAAAGGAAAAGGGAAAAAAATAATCTGGGGACTTCATCAATTTTTCATGAATTTTCATTTAGGCCAAAGCCCCCTGTAACAGTGGTCGATAGATCAAGCTGCTGTCACATATTTAACACCTGGAGCTACAGCTGCTCTCCCTGGGGGCTGCTGCTGACTCCGGCTGGATCAGAGGCAGCCTTGGCCAGCGTGGGGACCCTGGCGCTCCTTCCCCGCTCGCATGTGGCGCCCCAGTTCTCCCAGATGAAATCCTAGCTACACTCACTGCTGCAAATGTGTTTCCTGATATTCCCGCTGGAAAACTGCACCACGCCGCTTCGATCGCCTCAACTGGTGTATTGTTAAAAAAAACGTGCTTTTATTTTTAAGACTTCTGGCGTTGGAATACGAAAGCAGTTTGGTGAAAGATGAAACTGTTTCAAGCTTACTTCGCCTTCTAAATTCTCCCATGAAAATCTGAACATCAACGTAAATCTAATAATTGTTCAATTCCAATTAAAAAATTCTAATGGACAAAACCAAAAGAAAGCTGTTCTACTCTTTTGAATACAACTTTTCATAGAGGTTTTAGCCTAGAACATCTGTTTTTAATGATTTAACCATAAAACAGAAGCACTACATGAGAATTTTGCCACGTATAATTTGGAAGACTTTTTTGACTGGTATCATTAGGATTATTTTTTCTTTCTGAGGAAGCTCCTACAGAAGTATTAATCTGCATGAAGCACACCATGAATTAACGCATTAAAACAATAAATAGAATAAGTCATATCAACCCTAAACTGTGCCTTCAAATAATAACTCTTTCTTCTAAATACCAACTATTTCTTCTTAAATTTCTTCAGGAATGAAGATATTCTAAATTTAAAGCAAAAGTATTCTAAAAGCATCATTAATATATTAATAATTGTTTTTAAAGTAAATTTACAAATCACAGTTCTTCACTATTTTACTGTCATGGACAATTTTTTCTGAGGCTATACATCAGTACAAAAATACCTGCCCTAGACTGTATGCATGTTCTCTGAAGAGGCATGGATTTAGAATAACTTATGTATAGATAAAGTTTACCCCTGTATAGGGGCTGGTAGCTAAATTCATGTTTGGGAAAGGTGTAAACAGTTACTCAACAAAAAAGAGCTTAGGAATTTCACCGACTTGAAGACACTCACTCCAAAAAAAAAAAAAAAAAACCCAAAGGGCAAAATGACTATGTTAAAGATGGTTTGAACCACTCTGTGTGCCAGCTGAGTTTAACTTCTTTCTTTACACATAAATATGGATAAATTAGAAGACTTTCAATCCCACTGCTTTTGTGGCATGGAGGGAGTAAAGAAAAAAAATAAAAGAAAATGAATCATAATTAACACTGTTCATCATATTAATGCATAAGCACAAACACATCTAATATATATATAACATATATATAAACCAAACAGATATTTCTTCATAAACCATTCAAAAGTTGCAAGGGCACAGTATTAGCCACTGCCAATTCCATATGCAAAGTAAAACAACTACAGTTTCTTACTCTAAAAGAGCACTTTCAAACATTTTAAACCTGTGAAAACCAGCAATTTTCCCCTCACAGCACTATCTGAGGCCACCTACAGTCAGATAACAGATAATAATCCAGAACCCTGTTGACAGCAAAGGACAAGAGTCCTGTTTCTGGTGATGAAAACAGCTTGGCTTGCTGTGGAAAGAAGAGTTTTCAACACCATGACAGAGAGCACGAGTCAGACCAGATCATGTGCAGCCCCATGGACAGGACTGCAGCATCCAGGTGACTCAACAGCTTTCCAGCAGGAGTTGAGGACAGGGGAATGGGGACTCACTGCTGACAACAGCCTGTCACCAGGAACTCATTTCCCAAGCATGCAAACAGGCTGCTACAGACCTGCCCATCTTCTTCAGCTCAGAAACACTGACACTAAACAAACAAGAGACTCCCACTTTTCCCTGAAAGTCACTTTAAAATTTTACTTATGACCAAAAATTTTCTCAAACCCAAGCAAAAACCATAGTTTTCATCTTCCAAAGGATGCCTTTGATAAACACCAAGCACTGCCATGTGCTTTTAAAAATCACAGCATAATCTCTAAAGTTAGGTAAAGAAGCCCTGTATGTATTATTTACATTTTTTTTCTTTGATAAAGACCTTTCTGTAATCACAACCAAGGTACTGTTCAACGAACGATAAAGCACTGTTGAAATGAAATAGGAGAGCCTGCTTTAGACAACTAAACCCTTTAATTGGGGGGTTCAGGAAGTTGAATTTCAAAGCTATGGAAACAGTAAAAACACAATGTTATTACAAAACCTTTGGCCATGGTTTCAGATCTCAGTTTCACACTCACTTTGCTCCTGTTGTAAAATACCTGATGAAGGAGAATAGCTTTATTATTTTTAAAGTTTTCTGCTATCTCTTATATGATTCATGCCTCACCTGCCACCAGCAGTTAAACTCCAAAGATGGAGACTCACAATAGCCAATGAAGCAAGGATCAGTGAAAACTGACAAGATATTCATCACATTTAAATTTCAAACTAATTGGTCACTTCAATTTTATGACTCAAGTTACAACTGACACAATCTTTTGAACTTCAACAGGAGATTCTGAATCTCAATAGGATTACAATAAAGATTTCAAGTGTTCAGGTCTCTCTTTTAGGATTTCTCAACTGTTAAAACACATGTATAAAGATGCAAATAATCCAGTACATTTATCTAATAATACTCACCCTGATTTCATCCTTCCTTAAACTGGTTTCTCCTCAACTCCCAAATACCAACCAAAACTGAAAAACTTTCTGTAATGCATTACTGGCACATTCACTTCTGCTGTCATAGTTTGCCAAAACTGTTTTTATTTTTTGTTTGACACAGTTTTGAATCTAGGTTACAACAGGTGAAATGTAGCGAAAATGTCTGTTCTATTTGGCTTACTCTGCCATTTAAATATTTTATAAATGGCATTTTCTGCAATTTCTGAGAAAACAGAAGTCTCAAGATCAACCATATTAGCTATGAAAGTCTGAAGATTGCATTAGGAACAAAGATTTCGCTTCTGTACTTCCTCCCTTTAAACATACCATCTCCTGTGGACTTAAATCCATTCTTTATCAACTAAGCAATAAAAATTTGTTCTAAAGCCCTACTTCAAACACATTTTAGGGAAACCACTTTCAGATGAAGAGCTGCGGGTGAAAAACTCAAGCCCAGCAAGAAGAGAGCACTCATAAACATATTAAAATACAATAATAGGCAAAGATGCACATTCTGAATAAAAAGATCAGTGTTGATTTGACCCATATAACTAAGCAGCAAAAAAACCCCATGTGCAACTGATTATATTTTATGTCTGATGAGCTTGTTTGCTGTGAATATAATGAATGTATCTGCTAACTCTACTGGAAGCAGACTACTCATGCCATTGTTGACTTCTCTGTTAAGACAAAGAGAATCGATAAAGACCAAGACTGCCCTGGATGATATGAGAAATGGCCAACAATTTCACTTGCCATTCACATAATGAATGAGGCCTGGGTCAAATTTATGATTGAGGAGTATATATTGAGGTTTCCAGCAGTACAAAACATGAGTCACCAAGATGCTGTCTGCTGCTGTTGAGGTAACAGATTATGAGATAAAGAGAAACAGACAGTGTACCTTAGATTAAATGATAGGTATTTTTCCACATTAGTTCCAGTATAACCAACTCTAGATATCATTTAAAAATTAGATTATTCTTCAGAGGAAGAATAATCCATGTTTGTGCCAATCATGATTATACCCTGGCTAGAAACGCATTTCAGTATAAATCACTTACTCTCTACAGTCACTGCTATGAGCAAACACATGTTAAAATGCCTTGACTAAGAGCAACAGCTAACGACAAAATGCTGTACTTATTCCCATTTGTTATCTCCCAGGATGCTGGCTGTGTGCAAGTGCTGGGTGACAGCATAAAAGCCACCATGAAGTTTTACAGAATACAAAACAAATAAAACTACTCACATGCCACTTCCAGAGACGCATTGCGACTCACAGCTTCTCCAAGGTAGTTCCTTGCTACACAAACGTAGCTTCCCTCGTCAGGTTTACTCCTGCGCCCGTGCACGATGCGTAAGAAAAATAAAGATCCGCTGGGCAGCAGCATCCGGTGGGAGCGCGGGTCGTCCTTGTCTGTTTCCACCCGCTCGCCGTCCTTGTACCACTCGATGGTGGGGGTCGGCCTGCCCTCTGCTTTGCAGTTCAGAGTAGTTGGCTCTCCTTTAGACACTATCACATCTGAAGGATGCTCAACGATCCGCGGTGGAAAGTCCTCTTGGCGGAGACGGGATCCTAAGGAAAGAACAAGGGGAAGAGAGAACAATTTATTTGTGCTTTAGGCATCACAAAGGGCTCTCGCAAGTTACGCCTTTAATGTTACAAAAATTCAAAAAAATAGAAAAAGAAACCTATACAGCATCTGAGATTGCTTTGACTGTATCAGACACTCCCCTATCTAAAAACCTGAGATGAACTAAGAGATAACCCTCTATAGTGTTATCAAATTCATACCAGATGCAGACTGTGCTTAGATTAGGATCCCTTACACATACATGTATGACAATTTTTTTTTTTCCCCTGATAATTTTCCTATTCACATTTACTTCCTGAACACTGTGTGCTTCCAGATTCCCCTCAGAGCTGCTGCTTTCTCATCCTTTCATCTGCCAGATTCAATAGGAGAACATACAAAACCACGGTATCTTGCCACCCCATTAATTAACAGTTCTTTGCAGTTTAACATGTATGCTTTGTATCACTTTTACACAAACAGTCCCAGTATGGAAAGAGAACAAGAAAAAAGAAAGCCAAAAGGGAAATCTCAAATGTTAGCTCACTTTAGAAATTTTCAGTTTCAGGATTGCGTGTATACATACATGCACATAGACATAAATACAATATAGGCAGAGAATCATAGAATGGCCTAGGTTGGAAGGGACTTTTAAGCTCATCTGGTTCCAACCCCCTACCATGAGCAGGGACACCTTCCACTAAAACTAGGTAGCTCAGAGCCCAATGCAACCTTACCTTGAACACTTCCTTCCACAGACACTCTCCACTCCTGCATATCTGATTAGACTACATGAGCCTGGAAAAATATTTCTGCAACAGTCACGGCAGTTTGTGCCTCAAAAATAATCTTTTCTAGCATGGATCCTGAAAAGCCTTTGAGTGGAGCTGCCACAGTGCTACAATTGGTCTGTACTTCTTAAATACAAGGTAAACCAGCCTCAGCAGGTTAGTGAAACATTTGTCTCAATTTTCTGATCAGTAGTTTTGCTGAGTGGTAGAAAAGCAAATGTCTTAATTATAGTCTAGGCTCTACATACTTTAAAATATTTTCAATGCCTCATTTACTGCAAAAGTTATGAGGAAAGGCATAAGGATCCATTCAACAGAGTGAATCCACCTTTGGACTTCTGTTTTACTAACACTTAGGTCATTAAACTAAGGCTTGCCACTGCATTTAAGTGTTACATTGTTGTTGCATAAATTGGCTCTTTCAGTGGCTTCCAGATTCTATTACCAGAACAGCAAAAAAATCCATAATCTGCAATGCCTGTACATGAAAAAAGCCCATAATCTATAGATAAGCATAGATTTACAGGACAGTTGGAAGAAAATTATATATTTTATTCTCATTTCTACTGACAAAAAAATCTAATAGGAGAATCTCCAGCTAAAAAATAACCCTAGTCCATGACCCCATACACAACATCAAAAAAGACTGAAATCACCATTAAAGTAAAAGATAAATGACAGCACATGGGACTAAAAAGCCAAATTCATACTCTGATTAGAAACATTTATATTTACAATACTCCAGATACAAGTCTACCAACTTAATTAATTGCTTATTCTCAAAAAGCAAACAAAACCACACCAGTTGTGTTAAGAAATTTCTATTAACAGTATTGGGAAGAAAAGGAAAGCTGAGGTGTTTCTGCAACACGAGAGGGACTTAACACAGAATAGATACAACTGAATTTTGATAAATACAGGGTAACAAAATTAGTAGCAAGAAATGCAAAATGCAAATCCAAAATATTAGTTTGCTTGTACATGAAGATTTGTTGCTAGTGTTCAGAACTCCTAGAAGTATATCCCACACAGACTTACAGGCCATATTTAAAGCTGTACAAAAAGCTTCCTCCAATAAAATGTTTAACCTTGTACAAGCCAATTAAAAACCCCTCCTGAGGTCACAATCGGGCTGATTCTTCCTCTTCAGTACTGATGTTTATCACAAAACTGATGCTTACTCACTCTATCCTAGTTAAGCAATTAGTGCTCAAGAGAGGGTTGAGATGTGAGCGGCCAGGATCATGCCATTGTGCAAGGAGAAAGGCTCAGGAGGAGTTTCAAGGGGGCGTCAGACCACACATTCCTGTGATGGCTGGGTACACCTCCAGTTATCCAGGGCTACAAGGAATTCCCCTCATCATGCATTTAGAGGAGGGGAGAAACAAAACACACACAAAATCATTTATATAGCGCACTGAGCTCCCTCCTACCAAAGTAAACTGAGCACCAACACACATTCCCAAAGGTTAGGCTGATTTAGAAATAACAAAGGAAACCAGAAATTTAGCTCCACTGCCTGTCTCTAGACACTGTCTGCATATCAGAAAGAGACAGACGCAAGTTGTGCTCAATTCTAGTTTTGATTCTTTCACTATGGCCCCCCCCCCACAATTCTCTTACAAGTACAGCCTCATTTAGAAGGAACACAAATTCTAATAACCCCATGAGCTGTCTGGGCAGAAGATACTTTTACTGCAGAGCAAGATACAACCACGACCTTAAGCAGGCAGCTGTGGGCTACCCATACAGCTTTCTTTTCTATTCCTCCCCCCAGGATTTCCATTCGGTGCATGCATAGAGCATATGAGCAATCCCCGTGTTTAGGAGCCCTATGATAGACTGCAATGGCTTCATATGAGCATTTCCATACTGGTGGGCAAAACCAAAATTTCTACAATATTAGAATTGTTGGAGCTATTCCACAAGAGGTTCCAGTTCCTCACCACCCTCACAGTCAAGAATTTCTTCCTAATATCTAATCTAAACCTACTCACAGCTTAAATTATACCCCCTTGTCCTGTCACTTCAGGCTCTTGTAAAACATCTCTCTCCATCTTCTCTTTAGGTTCCCTTCAGGTACCGGAAGGTCACAATTAGGTCACCCCAAAGCCTTCTCTTTTCTAGGCTGAACTATCCCAGTTCTCTCAGCCTTTCCTCCCAGCAGAGCTGCTCCATCCCTCTGCTCCCCTCGGTGCCTCCTCTGGCCTGGCTCCAGCAGGTCCCTGTCCTTGCTGTGCTGGAGCCCAGAGCTGATGCAGCCCTGCAGGTGGGGTCTGAGCAGAGCGGGGCAGAGGGGCAGAATCCCCTCCCTGCCCTGCTGCCCACGGGGTTTGGATGATCCCAGGATACATTTGGCTTTTCAGGCTTTCAGCGCTCATGGCCAACTCATGTCCAGCTTAATGGTGTGCTGTGGAATGTTTATGTGTGATTAAATTAATCTTGACTTTAAATTGAACATCGAGTTATCAACTTACATTGCCTAAGATACTGCAATACAATGTTTTGTCACTCTAACAAACACAGCTTTCATTTTCAGATACCAGAGCCTGCTAACTACTGACTATTGCTGACCTGATAAATGCTGACTGATGGGAAACACTGTAGTTCTCATAATAACTGGTGACATTATAGATTTGTCATAAACTGTCACTTCATAAGTAAAGAACATCTGCATTCATATCCACCTTTATGTGAATAATTTCTGCAGCAGTTACTGCTAGTGTCTTTTGAGGTCAGGACACCGAGCAGGGGAAGCCCAGCCTCATACTGGAACCAAGCAAGAGGAGACTGCTGGGGGACACATTTTGCCACAAAAAAGCAAAAGAATGCTCCAGTTACTTGTATGTCCCTGTGCAGCACACGTACTGAAATATATTCACCAGCACTTCTTACACTCTCCTTCCTGTATTATGAATTTATGTACTTATATATCCCTAATCAAAGTAGGGAAATAAAGTAAGAAAAGTGAGGAAAATTGACCAAAAGAGGAAAAAAAAAAAAAAAAAAAGTAGCCTGCATATTGTACTTCAGGCATCAACACTCTGCTCTTCGACTATCCTACTTCAACTTAATTCAGATGTGTTGGACAAGACCATCCCTGAGAATCACCTCCAAGACTACTCATTTGGGAAGCATAAAACACCACAATCACTTGTTCATTTTGACCACTTCAACATCACAGTGCCAGCTAAGTCAGGTTGTCTCTGCAACTACCACCTCATGGATTTGCTTTTATATGCTCAGACTTCCTCACAAGTCTCCTTAGGGATCCAGTGTACAATACAGTTGCAGCTACACCGGTAGCATATCAGCAGAAGGCCCAATATTTTCAGTTTAGCCTCACTGATCCTACAGTCAAATAATCCTAAAAAATTAATTGGATGCAATAATTTTTAAAAATAAATGAAATAGATTTGCTGTAGAAACACAGGTGCAAGCAAGAAAGGAGACTAAAGCAAAGAGTCAATACTCTACTACTTTTTGCTGCATTTCCTCAGAGCCACTATGCAATCCCTGTCCCAGGAGGAATCACAGAATGGTCTGGGTCTCTAAAGATCATCTCATTCCAATCCCCCTGCCATGACTTGGCCAGCTAGCTCAGAGCTCTGTCCAACCTTCCTGGGATGGGGCATCCACAACTTCTCTGGGTAACCTGTTCCAGTGCCTCACCACCCTCACAGTTGAGAATGAATTCCTGATATCTAATCCAAACCCACTCTCTGTCAGTTTGAAGCCATTCCCCCTTGTCCTGTCACTCCATGGCCTTGTAAAGTCTCTCTCCATCTTTCTTGCAGGCTCCCTTCAGGTGGGAAGGCCTGGAAGGCTTCAATTAGGTCATGTGCTCTCTGTCTAGCATACACAAATCCTCACAGAAAAAGGCATTTGGCAATTCACTTTTTAGTCTTCCACTGCCTTTCAAAATTTCTAGGAAGAGACTTTCATTTATTGCACTTCACATTCTTCAGGTTTTAATTTTCCTCACATAAAGGCCAAACATTGGTTTAATCTATTAAGCCTACTCTCTAAATAAGCGGTTACAAAGCAAATGGTCTGTCAAACCAGAAATGCAATGGTACAGACTAAATTCAGAGACATTTAACTAATTTCTCAAATCAACAAAACATTCATGGCTACTGGGCCAGTGGTGGTTGAGACAGGCTAGCAATTGCATTGTAACTACTGAACCATTTTAAAGAAAAAACAACGTT